TCTGCAATTATTAGATCGTTCAAAAAGTCTCCTTCGACTTTTCAGTCAAATTTGGCTTTGTTGCATTCAGCGGAAACGAATTGTCCGTCAACTAAATAATCGCCGTCGTTACCTATGATATTTCACGAGCGTTCCGTTAACGCCCGCATACCTTCTAAATGTCATAAAAGATGATCTACTGCCGGGGAAGATAGAAAATTGCGCTAAACTCTTTTACTGACGCAATACTTTTGAATTTCTATTTCTTTTTGAACAAATTAATATATTTTTTCTCACAGGATATTCTCTTGATGGATATCCAGTAAGCGAGAAACATTAAATCAATCTTTTAAAACATCTTACGTGGATTTAAAAAGTTTTGACACAATATCATATAAATATTTTTAAATTGTTGCTTGATGATCTTCTTAAATATTAAAATTATAGCGTAGAAATATTATTTCTAATATTTCGGTTAAATATTGTTAATAATATCATTGTATACAATATTAAGATTTACATACTTGAAAACGTTACATTATAAAATATCATTATGATAACGTTGCGTTAACAATTAACAATTTTTTTGCTTACTGGGTATGAACGCGACACAACCACGATACTCTTACGTTGTAGGAATCTGCCTGGAAAATTTGATCCAAACTTCTTGTACATAAGAAAGTCACGAAGAAAGAGTTAAAATATTCATCAGAGCACGTGTTAAAGGCATGTTTTTGTTCACAGGGTTATATAATGCTTATTCTCAATAGCCGATAACGTTAACCGCAATGATAAGACGATACGCACGGCGATTGGGCGAGAACTTTGACGAATCTTCAATAATATGAAAAAAAAGCATTAAAATTTCACGAACATACTCAGAAACACTCGATTTGAGTTGAACTGAGAACCTAAGATAACGTGATATCAGTTAATTCATGTTAACATGAAACAATTGTCACATGTGCAGGATGAGACATATATATATATATATATAGAGAGAGAGAGGGAGAGAGAGAGTGAACAAAGAGCAAGGTAAGAAAAGAGAATTCCAGCCGAGCTGCTCTATCCAGTTTGTATCTTACGTTTCCATTAGGTTCCATTACATTCTATTATTCTCACATACCTGTCTCGAAATTCCACACTTCATGATCAACCATTCAATACCGTTCCACACAAGATTCTCTATCAAATGCCAAAACATAGTTCGCTTCGCGAAGGATCACAGTCGACGGTACGATATTTACACGCGACCGACATGTACAAGTGCACATTTCTTGTTTAACGAGGCACACATGTACACAAACGTGTGACACGAATGCGGACTGACGACCGAGAAGGCTCTCGTAGATGGCACCACACCGTAAGCGTCGCACGAGAGCTCGACGAGAACCGCAGCTTTATCAATTTTCGGGGCGTAACGGCGCTCCAACGATAGCTAAATCGACGTGTGAGTACGTCGTTAATATTTATTCCCGTGTCGAATCGAGAATGTACTATAAACTTTACAAAAGTAAATCTGTAACGTGATAGTAACGAACTGAAGAACAATTCGCGCGATGTTCTTTTGTAATGTTACAAATAAATATTCATATAATTTATTTAATTATTCATAACAGAGAGAGAGGGAGGAAGAGAGAGAGAAAGAGAGAGAGAGAGAGTGCGATGCACAGTAGTGTTCCACGAAACGAAACAATGGACGAAAATCCGCTACAAGGGAACTCAAAAGAATTATTTACGAGTTCCGAGAACGCAATATTAAACTTGAATTACAAAATAAGCACGTTCGTGTTATTGAATGGAGATTCATATATTTGAAAGAACCGAAGAGGAGGAGAATGGAAGAGGTCTACTGGAGGTCATAAGGCGATCGTTCCGTACAACGATTGCGCCAGGAAATGATTACGCCCGAGCGCGAAGCTCACGGCGCTATCATTCACGGTTCGAGAAGACCGGAGCAACTCGTAGTATCACGTGTTACGTTGCGTTTACCTGAGTTATCACACCGAACGAAATGTACTTTAACCGGTCACGGGAGTAGTAGTTCACCGTTGTCGTCGCCGTCGCACCCTCCGGAATCGTCCATAATTCCCGGCAGGTCCGCTGCAACAAATAAATTCCCGTTAGGCTCTGCACTCTTCATAGCGTTGCAAGTTCTGACGCGGCAATCGAAAAATCATATCTTGCAGCGAGTAGAAACATTAAATATGTAGCGCAAATCTTGAGAAGACGTCCTAGACGTTCCAGAGATTCATCATGATTTAAATTTAATCAACGAATTAATTGGCGAATTAGCTAAATTGATCAATGCGGTCAATTCCGGTTGAGTTAATCGTCGATTAAATTTAAAACATGATAGTGGAACTCATAACTGACACATTCGTTGGCATCTGTCGCATAATTATGGCAAAATTTACTTATAACAGTTATTCCACCAATAACGAGCGAGATTGAAAAAAGAAAAAGTTATCTCTTTAGCACCTCAGATTTTCAAACAGACCGACGTGCTCGTTATCGCGAAGTTGTACCGACTGATAGTAAACGTCGAGATGAAATATTCTGCCGGAGGGATGTGATATATTTAATGCAGAAAGAGAAAGAGAGAGAAGAATATTCACGCTTCGCCACGGTCATCCCCTCGCAGGGGAGGGGGGAAGTTTGCGTGACCACGAAAGAATAAATCTTCGTTCACGGTCGGCAGAACGTCGATAGTACGAATGCGAGCTCGATCGTCGTGCACGCAGACGCCGTGTAACCCGGACGGACCTGCGTCAATAGGTTACAGCACAGAGCCGCGGGGACAGAGGACCACAGCTGTTAAATTTCATCGAGTTACCTCGAACTTACACTCGAATTAACTTCCAATTAAAATCCCGGCGAATCGTGCCGGAGTTAAACCGCGCTGAAATCGTTTCCACCCTGTATCTCCTTTTAATTAATTGATTTACGACGACACGTACACAGTACAAGGGAGGAGAGACGATCGAGTTAGAAGTCGAGGAAGTAGAGCGGACGGAAGAGACTCCTCGAGGCGAAGTCGCGACCTGGAGGAGGAAGGTCAGCCGGATGGTGAAACGTGGACGGGGGCACGCGGAAACGTACGTCGACAACTGCCCCGAACGTCGAGAACGGCAAACGTTTCTCTCCGGACCTTCCCCAACGGACGAGGGAGAGGGGTGCTGAGATCTAGTCGAAGGCCGGAGTGGTTGCGATCAACCCGGAAGGCTGACCGGACGAGCACGGGCTACCTGCATAGCGAGATACTGCGGTCGGTCACGACTGTCCGGAACTGCCGAGTAACGTGGTGGGCCGCGGACAACCCTCAGGGAGGACAGCCGAGAGAGGAGGATACGCAGCGCGGAACTTGCACACATCGTAGTCCCGCGCCCGCGTGACACTTACCAGAAGTAGTCGCTGTAGGTGGTGCGCCTCGTCTCCGGCTGGCGCTTGCGCCCTGACGCTTGCGGGATTCAACCCTGCGGTTGCGACATGCGGACGTTTCATCGGGTGAAGGTCGCCGGCTCGTCTGTTTCGGGAATTCCGATATCCGTGATATCCCCTCCAAAGTTGTCTTAAGAAGTCTAAGGGTAACTTTCGACGTACCTCTGATTAATCTGATCGACCATTTTAAATCGCTGCCATTCGAACATTACCCGCTCTATCGTACTTTAAAATATATATATATATATGCTTTTGTCTGAACCATTTCTCTTCGTTTTCAAGATATTCCGCTGTTTTCATTAAAATGGAACATCCTATATACATGCAGGTAACGCGGAAATTTTACCATTTAAATTCATCCGTGAACTTTTAAGCCGGGAAAAAGTAAAGTTCCTTAGTTCGTGATCATAATAAACACAACATGCATGATATTTATTTGACTTTTTGTCGGTGTGAAATATCGAGTTTACCAAATCCACTATTGATTTTTCATCGCGTCGTAAAATATTAAAGTCATGCCGTCATGTTTAAACCGAATAATTTCAACGATATTTAATAGGTTATATTCAATTAAATTATATGTAAAATCCACTTTACGCATATTTAAAAGATCTGTGTAACGATATAAAAAATGCATACGCTGTTATATACAAACGTTATTATTCAAATTCACCCGCGAGCTTTTAACAGAAATAAAATATGAAAGTGAAATCTGTGAAATGCAAGAATAACATGAGCCATTCTATATAACGGCTTATAAATTACTTATTGTCTACATAGGTGACATATTGTACGTAATTTACATTGTCCACGTAGACGGCAAACCATTGTATTTTATACGTAAACGCCCAACTCTGAATAAGAATCTGAGACACGGTTATATGTATGTAAATACATAGGAGAGAAAGCGACGGATCGAGCGCTGCGAAATGAATCATTACGTTTCGATCCTTTGCTCGGCTCTTTCTCAATGGACCGAACAAAAGAAGTGGAAGGCGATCGCGGAATTGTGAAAGCAATGATGAGGAAGCCCGGTTATTTGCGAGATTGAATATCCGAGAGCCTCCACCGCTACTTAATTTAAACGATCTACAAAGCGTATTGAAGGACTCGCGAGCTTAATGGCGAATTCCCTGACCAATTTGCTCATGATCCGGTGTTCTCCCGGCAATATCGAGGCAGATTATTATTGTTTTCATCATAATTCCGCGACTAACCGTTACCTCGACATTTTCGCTAAGAAACCGTGGCATATTATAAATAGTACGCGGATACGGACGCATATCAGATCATACATGGAATTTTGTCACGAATTTCAGATCGAGTTACAGATACTCGTGCACGCCAGCGACATTATAGATCGCCTGAAACGGGCTTTACGCCCCAGGGAGGGAAAAGGCGAAATTCGTCGCGTGTGCGTCACGCCGCTACAATTTCGCCGAGGCTGAATAACGCGGCTTACATGGCGGAAGGCATTCTGTAGGTCAGAAAACCGTGTCTTTCCGTGTCCTCGTCGGCGACGGCCGCGTAGGTTGCGAGAAGTCATCGACGAAGATCTAGGTCGGGATCGTTCCTGTTGTTCCTTGGGATTTTGAATGACTGACGTTCGCCGCGATACGATGCACCCGAACTGAAAACAAATTACAGCGAACAACTGTCTTAGCTGTCACTTGAAAGCGGCTGGATTCAATAGTTCCGTGCAGCGATTTCAGCTGTTTGCGGTAGCGCCGGCATTGATACACCACCATCCACCCTCTCCAGAGGACTGTCTTGATCACAGTCGAATTATTAAAGGTCGCGACACACTTTTACCTCGACGAATTTCGCAACCTATTCCCTACTCAATTTGTTTTTTTTTTTGGTAATTCTTGAGAGACACGTTTTCCTATTGGACGGGAATAAGGGCAGTACTATTCGACATATCGAAACCTCGGTATAATTTGATATTCGATAATGAAGTTCGAAGATTCGAAGTTGAAGCTTCGAAATAGCGAAGCTGTTGGGAAAACTAATTTTGGAGAGTGCAACAAAATACTGTGCAATTAGAGAGTATCAGTTTAAGTATCTTTAATTGAGTTCTGAGATTTGTACTTGTCTGGTTTAAAACAAAGTGAATGAAGAAAGCACAAATAATAAACGGCAAAGTTTATTAACTTTATTTTCAAATAAATATAAATTTTGCCACAATAGTGTAACAGCATAACGCAATGGAGAAAAAATTACACTCTTTAAGGCGGTAAATACTATTTACTATACCTACAAAACGAACACACCAGTATCTTCCAGTTCTTGAAGTTCGAGTGTTCAAACATTCGAATATCCGAATGTTCGAATTTTCACACTTCAACATTTTATTCTTTGAATATAATGTGTCGAAAGTTCAGAAATTCGAAGCTTCGAATTTTTTTATTTGCATTTTTTATTAAATTTAGGTTTTTATTTTTTATTAATTTTTTCAAACTAATACGTGGGCCCTATTAGTGTCACCAGAATTACTGACGTTATTTAGAATTCATGTGTCACCCAGAGTGGTTCGTTCGTCTAATATATTTTACACAGAGTGTCATTGTTGGATATATCGTATGGAAAGTTCATTTATATGAATAGAATTTGCACTTTTATTGGCGGCACAACTACTTTGGATGTATTGACTTTATCAATAATTCCGTGCATTTCTGAAAATATAGTTTAATCCGTGCTCTTTCACCACGTTGAATGATCAAGTGAAATGAGGAAAGCTTCTTCTTTTCTTTTTTACTTTCTTGTGTGCAATTCGCTCTACATATTGGGATTAAATTTGTATCATTTCTGTCGTCTTTAAATTTACATATCAAAGGGACTTGTTCCCGTTAATTGAACGTGAATAAAAATCAAACGGAGAAAATAATTCCCAGCCCTAACACGGAATGCGTTGCGAAACTCATCGAAGTAAAAGTGTGTCGCGATCCTTCATCCTCTGACTGAGAACACGCACGAATATACATTCAAACGAATTCGCCGCAAAATGAAATCATTACGACGATCGTAACACGTAATTAGACACACGGCGACGTTCACCGCTGCGCCCGAAGAAATTGGCCGTGAATCAGCAGTGAGCGGGATGCCGCACCACGCTCGATTCGTCGATGAAGCTCAAAATAGTTTGTATACCGTATATAATGCATAACGCAAGCGGAGCGGTGGGGGACAGCATCCGGCATCGCGTGCCGCCGCGAAAACACCCCCCGAGCCCCGAAATTGTGTCAATAGGTCACGCGTGGATGATTTATGAAATCTTCCGGATTTGGAGCGCAGCTGATCCCGCGATTGTTAAACTAACAGAATCGCCAACAGGAAACGCGACACTTCTTGGTGCATGTTTAATCTCGATGCGCTCAACACGACGCTCCAATTTCCACGGAAGATCTCTCTCTCTATCGCGTAATCCGTATTTTCCAGCGTTTTATTATGGCGCGCCACTCGGATATTTATCAAAACGATGAAAGAGCTCTCGACGATATCGATATCGAGCGAGCGAACGGATGATCGATGCGGATCGAAGATAACAAAGATCACGAAGTCCCCGCGCCACGATCGTAGGGGAAGGCCGCCGTCCACGCCGAGGCGCGCCGGCGACGACGAGCCGACGACCACCCGAAGACAAACAGAGATATCTCTATCGGAGACAACCGGAAGCTCTCCCGTTTCCTATCGCAATCATGAACAGTTAACGCATTAATTATTAAGCGCGGCGAGCGCGAACCTCGGCAAGATCGCGTGATTGGGGTTGCCTCCTACCGGTTGGAGCGCGGTGTGATGGGGATCGATGCGGTTGCCGTGACAACGGGACCATCAGAGAGGCCGAATCGTGCGCGGATGACGGCTGCTGCCGGCGGGGTGGCGACGGGGCGGCGGCGAGCTCTCGGGGGTGAGCGCCGCGCGACGCGACGCGACGATGCAGTGACGACGTCGCCGCCGTTGAGAGCTCTCGCTCGGCTCTCGGAGGGCGACCTCGTACCTCGTTCGCCGTCCCTCGGCGAACCCTTTTCTTCCGAGGCGGCTGGTTCCCCGCGTTCGCCGTTGCACGACGCCGTTCCGATCCGACGAGCGGCCGCGCCATGCGGAGGCGGTGCCGGGTCCGCCGCAGCGCCAGGACACCGACACCAGGACGAGCACGACGAAGGACAGGCCGACGCGACGGCAGGACAACGGCGACGGCGAGAGGATGCACCACGGAGGCACCGCCGGAGAGACGTCGGAGCAGGACGCGGCGGCCGCGAAGGTCCTGCTGCTGCGACGATGGAGCGATATGCCGCGGCATCTCCAATTCAATCCGCATATCCTCACCGGCTACAGGCCGCTCATGACCATCCGCCAGTGCCTCGGCAGCCTCTTCTACATCCACAATGAGACCGTTAACATCCTGACGCACGGTAAGTCCCGGTCGCATCGCGTTCGCTCGCTCCCCTTTCGGGTTCGGCGGCTTCCCTCGCGGGCCCTCTCGGAAATTTCGATTCCGCCGACTTTCTTCGAACTGAAAAGAACGAGCGCTCGTCAATCGAAGGCCGACCTGCTGATTATAGTTTCCTAAGAGATGACTCGCACGATGTACTTATCACTGCAATTATTTCGCTCACGACGCACGATGCTCTTGTTTCGAACACGGACGACGGTGGTCGTTAAAGCCAGTCGAAACTTCCGCGAGTACGATGAAATATGCGTAACTTGGTTTCATAACGTGCTCAGGGAAGTAACGGGAAAGTAATCGAGGAGTCGTAGCGCGTAATCTCCGTATTATACGGATCAATTTAACAGCGAGGGGACAATATGCGCCAATTATCGAGATTATATCGCGTGATAAAACGAGCGATAATCCTAAAGCTGAACTTTACAGAGACGGGGAGTGTCTAAATCGTGAAGCAACGTTCCTCCGTTGTCCTTCATTCGGCCGGCGGCGTTCCGCGAAAAATAAAGCGCGACGCGGATTATGTCATACGCACAGGAGATTTGCCATCTCCGTAATTGGATTAGCCTGGAAAGAGGATTAAATTCCTCGAAGGCTTAAAGTCAAGGTGCACACTATCAAGGCCAACTTCCGTGACAACATTTGCGCCCATCGAGGACGCATTGCAGAGTAACTGCACGATCGATGAGAGAGAGAGGAAACCCGTGCGATATCCCCGCTGAGGCTGATTCATTGATAAATTTCTGATAATACCGACGTCAATCAGGCACTTCCCGCGACGCTCGTTCGATGATTTATCAGCTCCTCACGCACGCACGCCTCGCTATTACTCGGGCCTTACAACAAGTCTTCGATCGCGGATTCGGTCCGACGAGAGAAATAAAAAGAAAATAAGAGAACACGATCGCGTCTCTCCGATTAGAGAAATTTAACAGCGCGGCATAAATCCCTTCTATCGCGTCACTTTTCACGAGGATATCGGGGATATAAAATTCGCGATTTATCATGCAACCGATTATAATTGCCTTTGTAACAACTCTTCAGCAACCGAGGAAACCGCTATCTCGCTATCCGTTCTTACGTCGAGCACGAAGATTAAAGATTAATAGCGCGGATGAATAACGCGATAGTGACAGGCGCACGGAGATGCGAGGAGAAGATTGAGAAGTTTAGTGGCATGTTGGCCGCTCGTTGTTCGTGCGATATCGTTCGCTCGCATGCATTAGATAAACCGCAATAGCGTGAACGTGACAGCGCAACCGAAACTGCGGCTCTTTCGCAGAGAAAGAAAGAGAGAGAGAGAGAGAGAGAGAATGGGGCATATATATAAATCTGGCGTATCGACCGGCGCATATGTGCGTGAAATAAAATCTTAGTAGGTCAGAGCTTCCCACGTACGCGGAGAAGCTCGTTAATATAGACCGCTTAACGGTGCTTAATTACCCCTGGGGACGAGGAGGGCGGATCGGGAGATTTCGCGCGTCCTTAACACCGCGGCCGTTCTTCCTCCGTTCGTTTATCACGCTCGATTGCGACATTTACACCTCTCTCTCACCTGGTATTGGATGTGTGTGTGTGTTGCTAGGATTCGCTATCCTGTACATGCTGGTGACTGTACCGCATCTGCTTCCATGGAACACGAAGGGAACGCTCGTGGGAATACTGTCCTGGTGCCATTTGATCGGCGCCGTCAGCCCGTGGATCGGGTCCTTCCTCTATCACCTTTTCATGAACGTCAACTACGACGAGGTCTTCTACAGGACGTTGCTGAAGGTCGACATGATCGGCATATGGCTGTGCCAGAGTTTCGGTGATTAATTTGTAGACGATGAAAGGCCTGGAAAAATAGCGCGAAAAACCGCGCGACAAATCCGTAATTCTAAATACAGTGACGATTTTTTTTCGGAGAGAAGCTTTCCAAATTAATCGACTTTCGATCGCGGATGTGAGCCGATTTCGCCGCTTTTAGAGGGGGGGGGGGGATTTACGAAACAATTCGGCCGGTTTCCGCCGCTCTCGCAAGTCGATTAACGGCCGGTTCCGATGGCGGCGGAGGTCCGTTTCCCGTTTTTCACGCGTGATTTCTTTTCAGGAGCGATACCAATGATGGCCGCGGCGGTCCATTGTCTTGCCGATAACGTCTGGTACTGCTGCATTTTTATTTATTGCTCCCTCAGCATGTGGGGGCTCTTAAAGGTGATACTCCGTTCTCTCCGTTCCTCCGATCCGTCAGCGATTCCGTCGTCCCGCGCGACGATTATTAAACCTTTACATAATTCGCAGGCGATGACTGCGAGATCACCGTGGGAAAGGCGTTTGTGTTTCGCCCCGCCTTTCCTCATGAGGATGCTGGTCATGACGCTGAGGTGTTTCGGTATCGGCGGTGGATCACCCGAGGCTCTTATCCATATAATATTGCAGGTTCGTTTCGAGCCCACGCTTCGCGGGCAAATCCCACGGAGCCCACTTGTCGCTCAATCTCCGCGTGAATTCGATACGTTGAATTCAGATACCTGAAGTGAAATGAGGAAATGTCAGGAAAATTAATTCGCGCGTACTGAACCCGGTAGAAATGTATGCAGTTTTTCCTGGACACCTATCCAGTTACTGTCTGGTATTAATGTGTTCTCATTAGTTACGACAATGCTGCGTAGAAAATGGACAAGTAATTAATAGTTTTATTCAGTGACCGAAGCAGTTTTCGTGGTAAAAATATGTGTAGTTTGCATAGACACCTGCTCAGTTATGTTACATATAGGATATCATAGATCAGGTTAGATAGATAAACTTGTTGAAAGTGTTGGATGGATTGAAGTGATAAAGTTCTGTAGACAACACGCAAAATGTCGAGTTATTAATTATCGAATAACCGTACGGAAAACATTACAAGAATACGAAAAAATTACTGGTATATAAAAATTACTAGTAAACAACCATAATTTTTCAATAATATACTAGTAATTTTTTCGTATTCTTGGAGATTTTTCCGCACGGGTATGATCATGTATAGAGGTTTCTTTAATTAATAACTAAAACATTTGCAACTGTTATTTGTAAAATGGTAAAAGATTTTTTGTTCGGAATAATCTACAAATATATTATTGCTGTTATACTTAACAACAAACATCAGTATATTGAACTTTGAACCTCGAACTTTAAACCTGTCGCTAGTTGCAACAGCTATTACTTACTTGTAGATTAGGCTACTCTGAACAAAAAAGTCCTATACCATTTTGTAAATAACACGCAAAATGTGTTATTAATTAAAAAAGCCTTTACATCTGCTTATTTTCAATAATCAATAACTCGAAATTTTGCGTGTTGTTTGCAAAAAGATTGAGGACTTTTCTGCTAATCAATTGAATGGTGTTTTGTCCATTTATTGTTCTGTTTTCGTTCAGCAAATCGGTTTTGCGCACCTTTTGTGCGCAGTAACTACGGGAAAAGTGTTACATCTTGATTAGAACTCCAAGTAGTTTCACTCCTCACTTCACTAGACAGAAGTTAGTACAACTGTCCAATAATTGTTTCTAAAATGCATGAAATTTCTACCAAGGAATTTTACACATATCAACACAACGAAATGCGCAAAGTTTGCGGTATTTTACCGGTTGTTTTACTTGATTCAGAAGAACAACGGTTACTGAAAAGGCACGGGATTTTCAGGATCTCATAGCTGTGATAGGTGCAACCATTGGCGCTCTCCGCATTCCAGAGAAGTGGATTCCCGGCAGATTGGATCTGGTGCTGAACTCGCATAACGTGATGCATGTGATGGTCGTCCTGGCGGTATGCTCCATGCATACCGCTACCTTGAAGGATCTCGCCTGGATGTCCGATCCGTCTACGTGCAACGGAACGAGCTCTCTTTTTCCTTCTCCGGGTCGCGACGAACTGTGATCGATCGAGCGATGTGAAGAACGTGCTTCTGCTGCAGTCTGTGATAAACCGAGCCTATAACAACCGGCAATTAGTCGAGCGCTTCGACACTTGGAGACCAGAAAGTGCTGAATTCTATAATAGACATAGGAATACACAGATAATAAAAAAAAAAAGAAATATATATATCTATATATATATATATATATATATATATACATATATACACAGATATATATATATACATATTATACATATAACAGAGTTTAATAAAGAATTATCTAATTTATGCGATCATCGCGGGACGGTTTAAGTACAATCACGAGTACAAAGTACATACGGTTACTTATCATATCGAACGTCTAATGATAACTCAAGATCTATCAGGGATTGAAGTCGACGGAAATTGACGAATCTGGTGCAAGAAAGAAGCAGATGAGAGATTTGTTTAATTCTCGGCGAGAGATATCAATATTTTAACCACAGAGACATTATTTATCGATTTCAATGGAATTACCTTACCTGTGTCGAAAACACGAGAATTTTTTTCTGGTGAACAGTGAGACTACACCCTGGATATTTTGCACCAGACTCCTCAATATATTCTGCGAAATTGAATGTGACGTTTCGGTTGCACGCTCTGCATCTCATTCAAATTCCCTTCTATATCTAATACGTCAACTGTCATTTTTGTGCTCCTCGTAATTTAATTTCGCAGAGGACTAGGTAATTCTAGGAATAATAGAATAAATTCTCTTCATAGAGAGAACCACAGAAACATGAAGAGTCGAGGAATCTACGTCCAACTGTGCGAGCACTTGAGAATTATAATTTTACACCGAACGAATCTCCTATCGCTTTCTCTTATAGCTCTTCCCTTTCTCTTACAGCTCATTCTTTACATGACGTGGTCAATCACCGGAAAAGGTACAACATTGTCGAAAGAAAAAGTAGGGGAGAGTTCAATAGAGGCAATTATGTATGTATGTGTGTGTGTGCTTCATCGACACTTAGTGAAAGAAACCTACGCATTAGGAATGAGCTGGAAGGCGATATAAGCACATCAAAAATATGTTTATTGTTGTGATACAATGATCTAGGATCTTCTAATAGTACGCAACACACGCATCCGGATGTCAATCTGTTCGAGTCGATACGCTTTATAATAACGCATCAATAAGCCGATAAAACTGTTTTGGAACATCGACGGGGGTTTGTCCAATTTATCTCGCATTGAACTCGTGATGGAATTATTCTATATAAACCCGACTCTATTTCAACTCAGAGATACGCAAACGCAGAGAGATGTAGACCTCGATTTACGGACAATTCGTATTCGTAAGGTAGTTGATATATCGACACACGTTAATAAAAATCGACGAGTTCTTAGATATACGATTTCGTGTGAGGATTACAATAATAGCGAGAGCAGTGTAGTATCGCAGAGTACAGTTCTTCGATGAAAGCTAACGTACCTCTTGCGCATCCAGACACCGTAAATCCTCACATTCCCGTCGCGTAGATGAAATTGCGAACGTTTTAGTCGCTCGCAACGTCCGACAGATTTATTATACATAATTTTACTATATACAATTAAACATACACACACACACATACACACTTTTTCGAACTTAACTGTGCTAAGGGTAAGCAATAATTAACGAGCTATTGAAAACAGAGACCGTTATAATTACACTCTTGATTAGATATTTCGTTAGAACCTTAAGCGTACAACTCATTGTAAAATAATATATAAGGCACTGTGTTCGAGTGTGCTTAAATAATTATATATTAGAACCTACGAAATAATTTATTTACGCCGCGATGTGATTGGATACGTTGTCGACGCTATTAACACACATTTCGAAGGATGTAGTTGTGATTTACAGGTTGTATAGCGTACTAATAGAGACCGTTATAGAACGCAGCGTGAGAGAGATACCAGAGAAATAAAACATCTTCAAAAATATACGTACTTCTTTAATTAACGATCCAAAGCGCCGTGTGTGTGCTAGCATACATATATAATCGAAATTAAATTCCCCCTCTCCCCTCTGCCGCATGCTTCACACCTTTTACATCATTAATTAACACACACACATACACATACACAAATTTCGACAATACATCCGCTGCACACACATTCGCTATTTTCCTCTGCAAGAATAAGAATAAATGTTGTACTCTCGTTATTCGCGTATATTTTTCCCTCACGATGCTCGTTACTGCAACGGGGCTTCGCTCTCCTGAGTATAACTCTTTACCCTGCTGAATTTAAGGGGCGGATACCTGCCGCCGATCGGTGACACCCTGAATTCCCTTACGGATGGCTCCTTCAAACAAAGCTTCACCTCCTGCCCGTTCCTGTACTTCGTGAAAATACTGTAGCTGACCCATTTTAATTGCGAGTTCATTCTTCTGTGATGATTCTGTATCTCGAATTCCTAATGGCAGAGGTATAGTGGCAGACGTTATGGAGATATACAACTGATTCTCTCTCTCTCTCTCTCTCATGCAATTTTTCATTTGATATACTTGACTCTTGTTACTTACAATATGAAACGTTTGCTCGCCACTGTCATGCACCGGCTCTCTCTTGTTCCGTCTGTACGTGAAATTGACCACTTTAGTTTCTTGTTTCTTCAGCACCAGCGTAACAAAATTATCGTGTAGTCGGTAGTGCCCGACGAGAACCGAGGAGTTGCGCGGTATGCGGCTTCGCAAGGAATTCACGCAGCTTTGAGCCTCGTCGGTGGATGTCAACATTAAAGCTTTTCCCTCGGGAAAAAATCTAAATACAAGAAATATGAGAAATCTAAATACAAGAAGTACAAGTGAAAAGAAAAATTTCACGGATCCTAATAAGTGTCAACATTTGTTTACCTTAGGTACCTGAAGTACTCGACGAGATGCCACGGTCGGTAGAAACGGTCCTGGAAACTGTTCTCACCGTCGCGAATGTAGCTGGTTTTGCTAATGTAACATCCGTTATATCTTAATCTAGGCCGCTGCAAATACATGTCCCTCCATGACTGGTACTTGGGCTCGCAGGTACCGCAATTCACACCCCATACCCTGTCATTAATTCACGGGGACGAAATCAGACGGGCTGTTACGAGCCACATGAATACGCGCTGATGTATGACTGGTGTTTACCTGACACAAGCCAGTCGCCAGATTTCCTTGTCTCGCGCGGATATGTAAAACCCGCGGCACACCCTCGAGAACATTTCCAACGATCGGAAATCTAGGTCGGAAGATACAACCCATCTTAAGATATAGAGCACTATTTCTGTTGGCAACGCAGATATATGTGTCGTCTGGAACACGCGCATGCAGAAGATTAAATTTCACAAAATATAAAACACCGGAAAATAAAACAATAAGTGATATATGAAGAGGTAAATATTAAAAGGAATGATTATTCATCACTTGATAATAACATTATAATTACTTGTAAAACAATGTACTTATAAAAATACCATACAGTCATAAAGTACTTACATTTTGCTCAAATTTTGGGAAACATACGCACTGATTGCGATTTACGATTCTAGACAATTTACTAAACAAGTCAGTTTCTTCTTCGTCAGCCTCAAAGTTATCACTGTCGTTTGTTGAGAAATCATTGTTTAACGTGTCCAGGCTATCGTCAGCATCAAATTTATCCCTTACTTTTGTTTTTGTTGATTCATACAGACGAACTTCGACATCAGGAACCAGTTGTACCGCACGTTTGTAAAACTGGATAGCTTCGTAAAATTTTCTGCTTTGCTCGTGCTCGATACCTTTGAGAAAGAGATTCTTCGCCTGAAAATAGACATCCTGACATTGCAGAAATCTAACATTATCGGTAAAATTATCAGTTCTTCGCAGAACCTTCTCACTAAACATCATACCCTGCTCTCAACTGAGGCCTCATCACTGGTAACCTCATGGTTAGGCTCTTTTGATGAATATGACCTCGGCGTGTCACGTTTGGGCGATATTGTCAACTCCCGCTGCCACTGTTCCCTGAAAGACGTTAAGGCATCCTCAATGTTCGTCTCCTTCTGCAAGGAAGACGCCTCCTGATCATCGCCTTCATCGGTGTCATCACTAGATCCACTGCAGTGGTTCTGCCAATGCATGAAGCAAGAAATATTTTAATTGCTAAAACCCGAAATGACAATTTATTACTTATGCAGGTTTGCGTGAACTTCAAGCGAGTGAAGTGAAAAGAGGGAGGGTGTAAAACACTCGTGCGAAATGGACTTATAAATGACGCAGCGTATAACGTAATGACGCAACATATTGCTCACTATTGTTAAAGAAAAAAGCGGCTTAGTAAGAGCTTTGTGATTATTGCATCCGATTGGTACATTCTCCTAGATTTGTGCAAGATCTACGAGCGAACACAGGCCAATCACCGGCAATGATCACAGAACGCTCGGTGAGCCACTTTCTCTGCTGACACGCAGGCATTGTTGACGATAACACATCGATATCGGCTCCCGAACAAGGTTAGGGTCGCTGTCGGACATTCCGGCGTACGATTACGTATTTATTTCGCGACGACAGTCGCGGCCGTTTGCATTCGTACGTACCATTTTCTCGTCCTATTCGATCACGTCGGTCTTTTTCCTTCAGCGCATGTACTCTCGGTCAGAAAAGCGCACGACACAGCGAAAGCACAATTTCGCCAATAGTACCGCCGCCATGGTTCTCGCCTCTCTGCTCCGCGTTTTTTCGGCCCGACCGAGGAAAGGCGAACCGACGAAGGTCGTTACGCGAGCAACGCACACCGTTTGACTCCGCTGACGCAATATAGACATATTGTTCCCTTTGCAATGTCGCAGTTACTACCGTAATTAATTATCGGAAGAATTATCGACTCGCGCTCCGTAGTAGCAGCTTCCGTTCGTTCTTTGTGTTCCTTTAAAGAAAACCTTTTACCCTTAATTATTAATTATTAAAAAGCTGTTGATGCCGCAAATTGTCAATTTGATGCTTGACGAATATATACATATATATATATACAGCTACTCTAGAATGGGAAGTGTTTTTAGTTATGTTCGGGAAATATAACGAGAGAGATGTACTCAGTTGACAAAAATATTACAAACATATCAAAGTAGAAAAAAGACATTCTTACTTCACCTACATTGGATACCTTCATTTTAATCTCATCTTTACATCTTCACTACCTTTTTTTATTCGCTTTCAAACTTGTATATTTTCTTACTTCATCTTGAACGCGGAAAGCTTTCGGCCGAGGTTAGAACAGCTTCGAGATTGAAGATCAATAAAAACAACTGGAAGGAGTAAAGTAACGAATCATTAATTTATCACTAATCTAAAATGATCCACTTGATCGATCAATCTGACCTTAATAAAATTGACAGATCAACGAAATCGATCGTATCGATCATCGATCGTGGTGACTTAATCGAGAGTCGAGAGTAATCGATACCGGGGCGATTCAAATCAGACTTCAAGTTGGAGTCGGCCGATAGTACGCGCGAATTACTTCGGATCAAGTGCATTCATTGCTCGCTCGTGCTAAGTCGATGCGATACGCGAATCTTCTCCCGACCTGTCTCAATTTCTGCACTACCATGCCGGCGAGCAACGTAGGACGCCGGGGAATGCCGGCGGAGGACGCGAAATGGGTCACGGGGACGCGGCGGCGGTATTCAAAAGAGCGACCGAAAGTAGCGAGACATTGGACACCTAACCTATCTACCGATCGTTCGCTTTTCTTCATCTTCGACACACGTACGTGCAGCTGAGCGCGCGTTAACATCGGTGGGGTACCAGCGACCCCACCTTTTTCACGCAACTATCACTACCTCTACCTGCCTGCCTGCCTACGAGATCATCTTCCCGAGTAAAAGCCGAGAACCGCACGAGCGTGGGCACAGACAGCATCATGCGCTTGGTGAGTACGAAACCACTAATTCACTTCTGATTACCGCTTTCCCACCTGGCTGAACTTTCCTCCGATTTTCTCTTCTCTCTTTCTCGTCACGCCTCACTTCTTCGCCGCGTCGACTTCTTCTTCTCTTTCTTCTTCTTCTTCTTTTTTTCTTCTCTTTCCGCTTCTATTTCTCATTTTTCTCGCCGCTATCTTGCTCGCGATTGTGGATTACAAGTCTCGTGCCAAGTGATAGTGAATCAACTAATGTCGGTCGACGAGTGATGCAAAGTGATCAGCGGTTTTTTTTTTTTTCGTAGAACCCTGTAGGTCGTGTCGAGGTTCACGTTGGGATCGGGAAACTTTTCCGCTTGTGTGACACGTCGTATAACAAACGCGACAAATTTCAATTGCCGATGAGAGAGGTTACTACATCGCGCGTGTATATTCGGTATTTTTTCCCGCGCCTCGTCGATGCGAACGATCGCGACTGATAAGAGATTAGAGATTGTTGTTGTTCAACGACGCAATTATGCTCCTTCGCGACTATAAATTCATATTTCACGAAGAGGAAGGATCCCCCCTCCGTGTGAATATCGCGCTAATTTCGAGTCACCGATTAATTTAACGGTTCGAGGGAACAAGAACGTCCGATTCGCGAGTACGTGATATTTCGGTGACAAAGCAGTGCGCTCGCATCGATATTCGAGTAGATATCGAGTTTCTATCCGGAGGAAATCCGCGACACGAGGCATTTCACGGTGGCCACTTTCTTCTTCCGTCCCGCGATTCCCAGATTTGCCGACGTATGTGCGCGTCGCTCGCTCGTGAAAGAGCAGCTTTTCCACTTAACAGTTCCTCGACGTCAACTTAATCGACCGGTTGTGCGATTAGCACGGCCTACCACACGACTTGTCAATTAATATCAAACAATAATTTCGGCGATTTCGCCGCCGCCGTCGTCCCGGTGAAAAGCCGCTGCTGCGCGCGCGCGCGTGTGGACACACATTGTTAGCGAATTGCGATCCGACGTCGACGCGAAAGTATCGCTGCACGGTGAAATTTGCACGTACTCCGTCGCGAAGTTTTACGCACTTCCGCGCAGGCGGCGATACAGGATCTTCACATGACAGAGAACCGAATAATTCTATCGAGATAATTAAATATTTCCTTTTTCAAAAAGAAGAAAAACGACTCTCTAAAATTATCGACCTGCTTTCGAGAACGCGCGATAAATAATAATAGACGCAGTTTCGCTCGATCTCCCTAGCATCTTGTTACTTGAGAACTCACGACATAATAACAGCTGTCGAGATCAATCATGAGGGGAGGAAAAAAACAGACGGGCGAGTTGTTCGCCTCCGATTAGAATGAAAAAAATGGCGCGAGGAGAGGAGGAAAGAGCGCGCTCGATTCACGTTTATCGGGGAATCGCGACCGGCTTCACGCGGCCGCGAATTCACCGTGAAGCGCCGGCTCATCACCGAGAATCGCATTAACGAACAAGTGGCGTGCTCCGGCCTGCGAAATCGCTGGACCGTCCGGCGTAAATGAATTTCTATTCGCGCACCCGGGGGGCTACCCGTGCCGCTGAGTGCGGCGCACGCGAGCGCGCCCCGTTAAATATCCTTCGTAAGTAACTGCGCTTTTCTAACGACCCAGTTGTCATGTGGTACGCGGTGGTCGCGTGTGCGCGGCGTTAATTAATTGGCTGGAATTATGGTTTAGCGGTTGAATCGGGACCGAGGATCGACACGCGAGTTGTTTCGATAACGATTAACATTGATCGCCCGCGTGCTGTAGAAGAAAAAAAATAGACAAAGGGGCAGATCACGGGGGAGGG